ATATTATTTTGCGAGAGGGACACGAGAATATATGAGAGAAAATTTCTCTCTCTTCTCCTCGCTCTCCCCCGGCCCCCGGAAAACGCCACCTGGTGGTCTCAGCCTCCTGTCTTCTGCCTTCGGAGGGGAGGTGGAGGATACCTCCGAGCTCCCCGCTCCCCCTCCCTCTCTCCCTCAAAGGCGGAAGACTCTGGGGCACCGGCCTGTGGCTGGGAGTTTGCACCTGGGGTGGAGGGGCGGTGGGGGAGGGGGTGACTGTGGGAACTAGCTGGTGGTGGCTCCCCTCCAGCTGCCTGACTTGCCTCCTTCTGCCTTTGCAGGGGCTTCGGGAAGCAAGGGTTCCAGTGCCAAGGTAGGCTGTGTGCCCTGGGATGCCCTTTTTTTTTGAAGATACGGTGAAAAGGACTTGGTAGAAGTGACTGAGTTAGGCAGAGAGTGAAGGAATCGCTGTGCCTCACCACAGAGGGTCCTTTGAAGGGGCGTGTGCCTACGGGGCAGTGATGCTCCTTCCAGGAAAGGGCGCGGAGAAGGAGGCCTCACCTGCCGCAGAGTGCACCCCCTTCTCCCTTCCCAGCAGCAGGAGCCTCTAACCGGGTCTGTTGACTCTACCCTGCTGGCCAGCCTGCTTCTGGAGGCCCCTCCCCCTCAGTCCTGCTCACTGTGCTTCCTCTTCTCACAGAGTGAGTTCTGCCTCTTCCCCTGCCTCACGCAGGCCTCGCGGGCTGCCCCCCTGCGGAGGTGCGGTCCTGTAGAGGTGATGGCAGGCGTGGCCTCCTGGGCCTCCGAACGAGGTGGTCCAGGTGGGGTGCCTCTCAGATCTTGGTTTAAGTCGCCCCTTCTATATTCTGGCGAGACGTGGGAGGGCTCTAAGTGACTGCTTACCTGGGTCCTTACATCCGGTTTGACATCCTTGACCCAAGCCAGGGAGGCCCAACTTGGCAGGTCTGTTAATCATGTGCATGTGGCCTCAGTGGTCGCTGGTTGCAGATTCGCTCCCTGGGGCCGCGTCACCTAGACATATCGAGACCTTAGGTTGTCGACCATTTTTTGAATTTGATGTCAGCATTTTAGAGCTGGGAGATTTCACATACATCTCTGAATTTCCACCTTCAAGTGTGCTGAGACTTGGCCCCTCTCTCTGGTTAGAACAATCATTTGGACTGAGAGTGGCTGTCTGCGCATTCATCACGTTATCTCTGTTGATGCCCTCCAGGCATGCTTCACCCATCTCTGGCCTCCGTAAGCATTTGAGTTTGTAACTTCCAGCTGGGCTAGGTGTGGTTGAATTTGGTGAGAGGAAAGTATTTAAGTGTTAAAGAGCAGGAGATGTGATGTGGTCCTGATTGACAGTTTGGTTGTGTCACCTCCACCCTCCAGGGAAAAGTAAAGCGATCCCTGTGAGTGTTGGTGGCATTGTCAGTTGCTCAGAATGCTGGCAGCATGGCCCTGCTGTCTTCTGAGACTCCTGTGTCCCTTCACCTGAGATCTGGGGCAGGGCTGGCTCAGCCCTTGACCCTTGTAGACTCCCCCTCCCCCCAGCCTCTCTTACAGGACTGTGACCCCTAGTTTCGTGGACTGCACGGGAGCACTTCCCAAGTCCCAACAACCGAAGTACTGGTGCAAACGGCTGGGTTGTTTTCTAGAACTTTGGCCCCTCAAGCAAAACACCTATGTTGGTGCCGGAATGCATAGAAGATCTTCACTTCCATGAGTCGGTTTCTGTCTTTGTCTCCTGCTGAGGTCATGGGGGACGGAACTTTTACTGCTACTATCCTGTCCCCCTTCTCTGCAGTTATTCAAGGTTGGGAAGATCAGAATGTCCAGGTGAGGACACACCTGCCGCAGGAGTAGATGGTAGGAATTTCCTGGTGTGGAGAGTGAAGCAGGATTAGGTTTCCAATGAAATATGGGTGTGTCCCAGTAGGAATGCCTTTTTTTCATCGCCGTCCATTTTCTCTTCTCCTTGAGAGGCATCGTAGGGTAGTGGGCATATGCACAGGGTACCGGCAGGTCGCTGTGAGTTTGAATCCCTGCCATGTTATTTAGTTCTCTGTACCTCCAGTTCTTCATCTCTAAAATGGGTCCAATAACAGAATCCACCCTTACTGAGTGGCTCAAAGTGGTTGCAACGTATAAGATGCTTGGGCAGCTCCTGAAATTGAGATTCCGGAAGGGTGGACGTTACCCTCAGCTATGCTCAGAGTTACCTGGGACTAATTTGCGCACCATAAAGCACTTCCTTATCTGGGTATTGTTGGTACCACATATTTCCTCTTAAAGTGAATCTAATGTATAGAAAACAAGTGTGACTATTCTCACCCCGAAGTCAGGCGTCCAGAGCCCAGGGCCCTAGGTTCCTTTCGGTTTTCTGCTCCACCATTCCAGGAGGGACAGAGATCTCATGGTCCAAGAAGGATGCTAGGCTATGCGGTCAGCACATCCTTATTTAGTCCGCAGGAAGGAAAGGGGAGAGAAAGGCACGGTTACTGTGGAAGTTGCCACGGGTACTTCTGCCTCTGTGCCTTTAGTTAGAACTGAATGGCATACCCACACCCTGCTGCAAAGGAGTGTGCGTTAATTTCAGGTAGCCTTGTTCCCTGCTAAAAGTCAAGGTGTGTGTGTGAGTGCGGTGTGTCATTCAAAGCAGAAGGGGAGAGAGGATACAGTCTCTGCCATTCTTGGCTAGGAGGTGTGTAGGGTGATCATAGGAAACCACTGAGCCCCCTGGTCCCTTGTGCTGGCATGGAAGTTGGGGAGGCTGGGATGCGTGGGAGGAGCTTAAGATGAGATTTTCTTGTTCTGTACTGCCAGGGGACAGAACGCTAGCGTGGCTGCCCCATAACCTCCCCCTTTGTGTTCCCACTCTGCTTTTTAGTTGAAGAGGTAGGGTTAGGGTGTCCCTGGTGGCAGGGGACTGGGGCTCAGAATCCTTATTATGAAACTGCCTCAGTTCTGGGTTAGAAGGGGGGCCCCTCAGGCAAGCAGAGCAGAGCTCTCTCTATGGCATTCTTTAGAGGCGCCTGGGAGCTGCATTTGTGCTTTAATTGTAATGAAGATGAGCCTTTGGGTAGAATTAGACTCTTCCTCCAAGAAGTTTTTGCACTTTAGTGGAGAGCTTATTTTTTTAAGGAAGTCAGTTCAGTAGAAATAGGAAGGCAGTAAAATGCAGAGGTTCAGAATTCGTAGCGTGGGGTTGGAGTGAGATCCAACTGGGTCGGCTCTCTGCTGTGCCCCCTCCTCGCTGTGTGACCTTGGGGACGCCGTCCACTTGTAGGGCCTCACTTCTCCCCGGTGGCAGGAGTCCAGTGACACCACCTACAGGGTCCTGGCGAGGAGTGCCGAGGGGTGGCGAGAGGAATGTTCACACCAAGGGCCCGTGACTCTGAGTGAGATGCTCATTATTACTTGATTAGCGGCAGGAAACCGTGGGACACAGTTATTCTGGACTCATTAGATGACTGTGCCTCCTGCGTGTATGCAGATGGGCTTTCTTCTCAGGTCTGTTTCTCCACGGGCTCTGGGTCACACCAGGGAGTGCACAGCTCAGGTTTGGGCCCAGACAGCCAGGCTTGTAAAGAGCATCTTTTCTCACCCCTGTCCTTGTGAGAAAGATCTAAACTTGCCATGGCCCCCATAGAAAACCCCCGTGCACTAATTTTATGGCTGTGAAGACACTGGTGATTAGAATGAGTAAACCGGCTCTCCCCTTTCCTGTGTGGACTAGAACACATGTTTTTAAGCATTCTAATAGAAATTATTCTTAAAAACCCCCGATGGATTGCACGAACCTAACCATTGCTATTTCACCATCAGCTCTATAGCATACAAGTTCATTTTTGTCTGTAGTTAACACATACTGATTAGAATATGCACTTTTAGAAAAACATCCATCAAAGATGAATCAAAAGGTTCATTTTACTTTCGGCATCATTTTTTCCATTTGTAATATGATATTCTGCATGTCAGGTTGAATTTTCTCAACACAGTCATAAAGAGAGTGTGGTGGTGTGTGTGCATGTGTGTGCGTGCGTGTGCGTATGCATGTGTGCGTGTGCGTATGCATGTGTGCAACCACCATGTCAGGTTTCACGTTACTGGAGCTTGCTTCAATTATGCCACCTCTCTGCCTCCCACTAGCAGAGCCCAGAGGCCTGTGGGTGAAACTCCGCTCACCTTTGGGCTTACTCGCAGTGTGTCCTGGGGGATCTGTGTGGGTGAAAGACTGTCTGATGGTTTGACTTTCTGATTTTTCCAACCTGGAGTGGGATTTCAGGCCCAAAGTCTGAAGTGAAATAAAAATCTGTAGGTGGCTTACTGTTGGTTCTCACAAAGGAGGCCGGCTTGTGGGGAGGTAGCAGTTAATTCATTCTGAGCTGCAGAGCACACAGGGAAAGCCTGCAGCTTTGTCACTGGGCAACAGCTGTCCTTTCTAAGTAAATATGGAAAATATGACCTTTGAAAATCTAGTTGATGTAACATGTTTCTTCGAAAGTTAATTAAAAAACATTGTTTCTGAGTACAGATGATACTCTAGTCTAGGTGCTGCCCAGAGCCATCTACAGCGTTTATGATGTATAAGGGTCAACAGAGAAAAAGATATAGAGAAGGTAGTTGGCCAAAAGATAAACTGGAGGTTTGAAAATAACTTGTACACATTCTTGCTGTTGGGGTTTCTCTTTCTTCTCTGCCTGTCCTTCTGTATCTGTCTCTATCACTTCCCCACCCCTGACACACACACACACACACACACACACACACACACACACGCAAATAGATCAAAGTGTCACAGTTTTGAGAATATGCATCTTCTTTGGATGCTTTTTTAGTTACAGGTTGTTAAATTACTAAATACAATTTAAAATCCTGTCTCTGTTTTTTTTTGGACTGCAGTCCAGTGAATTCGGGGGTCGGTAGGGAGGTCAGCTGAAAAGCTCATCGGGTATGGCTGATGCATTCAAAAGCTTTGTCTCTTATCATTTTGGCATTTGATCTAATATCATGGATTATTTGACTTCACTCATCCAGCTCCGAATTGGAATTGTGTGATATTTCATAGATTGACTGCTGGGCTTTTTATAGAGTATGTAAATTCCAGTGTTTGCTTATGGCATTCAGAGGTGCGATGGCTACTTGAAAATCTGATGGAAATTTATATATTTACCACATGTAACTCTTCCTTCCCTTCCCTTCCTCCCTTCCTCCCTTCCTCCCTTCCTTCCTTCATGAAAGCATTCATTAAGTTCTATGTATCAAGTACTATTTTAATGGTGGGAATACAGTGCTGAATGACATCCTTATTGTCATGGAGTTTACAGTGTAATGGGGAGATAAGATATCCTACACTGATATTCA